CTCATCATTCTGGGAATATATGACTTTAGGGGAAAAAACTACTTTTAAACAGAGGCCGTGTTTAGTTGTATGGCAAAAAAAAAAAATTTAAGTATACAAACACACATTTAAAGTATTAAACGTAGACTATTCAGCATGTAAACTGCGAGACGAATTTATTAAACCTAATTAATTCGTCATTAGCAAATGTTTACTATAGCATTACATTATCAAATCATGGCGTAATTAGGCTCAAAAGATTCGTCTCGCAATTTACATGCAAACTGTGCAATTGGTTTTTTTTCCGTTCACATTTAATGCTCTATGTATGTGTCCAAATATTTGATCTGATAAAATTTTTGAAAGTTTGAAGGGAACTAAACACTGCCGGAGAATAAGCCCAGCAGCAATTACTGACTGACTGACAGATGCCTTCCGTTTTTTCAGAGGATAAGATCAAATTCAGCGTAAAGCCCACTTCTTCAGAATATTTTTTTCTCCTTGTTCATGTTCTTCTCGTGGTACTCAACTGGGGCTATTTCAGCACCAGCCAAAGCAAGATTATGGACACCATGATGGGAGCCAACAAGAGAGGAGAAAGGGAGGAGATGCCTTCCTACTTGTCATTATGACAGTATTATTAAGCTTCAAATCTTAACGCTAACAAATATTACACACAAATAAGTGATCTTTTAATAAAAAAAATAAGACTAGTAATGTGTGTGTAATATTTGTTGGTGGTGGATGGTGAGGTGGTAGGAGCGGCGACGAAGCCATAGAGATTGATGCTGGTGGGAGCGAGGGAAGCGTGGGTTAGGCGGGATGGGAGAACTGCGTCGTGGCTGGGTTAGAGAAGAAAAGAGAGGGGGAGGCGGCCAGTTAGATGGGCCTCGTCGATGCAGTTGACGGCTTTCTACTAGCCAGCCAGCATGTCACGGTTGGGCGGGGGAGGGTGGCGCCGGAGAGCTTGAGCTCCCGTGCGGGCGCGAGCGGGAGGAGAACAAATAGGAGATGATATTGTTTACTCTCTCCGTCCTTAAAAAAAGACAAACCCTGGTTTCCGTGTCCAACGTTTGACCGTCCGTCTTATTTGAAAAAATTATGAAAAAAATTAAAAAGACAAGTCACGCATAAAATATTAATCATGTTTTATCATCCAACAACAATGAAAATACGAATTATAAAAAAATTTCATATAAGACGGACAGTCAAAGTTGGACACGGAAACCCATGGTTTGCCTTTTTTTAGGACGGAGGGAGTACGCATGAATCTTAACGTACTCTTAACTATTAAAAAAAGTGACTAAGGCTGTGTTTAGATCCTGGGGTGAAAAGATTTGGCGTGTCACATCGGATATACGGACACACATTTGAAGTATTAAACATAGACTAATAACAAAACAAATTACAGATTGAATTTATTAAGCCTAATTAATCCGTCATTAGCAATATTTACTGTAGCACTACATTGTCAAATCATGGAGCAATTAGGCTTGAAAGATTTGTCTCGCAATTTACAAGCAATTTGTGTAATTAGTTATTTTTTTCGTTTATATTTAATACTCCATACATGTGTCCAAACATTCAATGTGATAGGGTGAAAAATTTCACCAGGGGATCTAAACAGACCCTAAAATTTAAGGGTTTTTAGTTGCTTGAAAACTAGACAGCCCAGGTAACAACATGATGTTTGGTTTGTCGAACCAGGTTGTGATGGGCCATCGGTCCAGCCTCGTTCCGGATGAGGTGAGGTGATCCACTAGTTTTGCTCAAACGATGCAATCACTATAGCTAGGAAGGATGACTCGAAGACGGTTAATACGAGATGTCAGGATGCAAACACAAGTCAGCACCAGAGACGAGGCATCCCATACAAATCATGAGATTGTATGATCAAGCAATTTACTCTTAACGAGTGGTTTCTAAATACAAACCAACTCGATAGGATTAAAATAAGAGTGTAAGTGGGTCAACCCACGAACCCATTTATAGATTAAATACGACAGGTTTTAGAGAAATGGGAACCAAGGTCCCTATCACCTGCTGCATGAGGTGCCCATGGACACATTATCACGATACTGTAACTCATGTCGCTATCAACCAAATTCAAGGGACTATTGAGATACATCTAAAGAGGAACGCTCCAAGAGCTCCAGGCGCAACCTCTTGTGGGTTGTGCTCGGGGTGCATCTGCCATAAGCCCCCAAAGCACAGCCCCTCATGGGTTGTGCTTGGAGTACACCTTCAATTTGCCCCTGAGTACGGCCCCCCGCGGGTTGTACTCGGGGCACATCTACAGCCGGCAGCCAAGTACGACCCCTCATGGGATGTGCTCGGGGTACATCTGCCTCCGCGCTCGACCGCCGAGTGCCTAGAGGAGCATATATGCATGGACCCTACGAAGCCTCGCATTGAATGCGAGGCGGTGTATACCAACCCGGCGTGCGACTGGGATAACACGTGATAACACAACACGCGCCAACCCTGTGAAAAGCCTTTATCACCCCTATGCGGAAAGGTGTGGGCTGTCAGGTGGCACGGTTGACTGCCATACCACGTGTCGGGCCCACAGTCATCCAGCACTCTCTTCCAGCCACTGGCGTGGCCTGACGACCAGGCTCACTCGTCAAGAAGCAACAAGACCAAACACATCTAACCCCTGTCCTGGGGCCCATTTGTAAGAAACAGGTCATTGTATATCCCCTTGCAACTAGAGGTGGACCAAGGCCACTGAAAAAGGGGTTGAACTCCTGAGTAGAGCCGATCTTAGAACATCTTCATCATCTCCACAACGTCCACACTCCACACCAGAGAAATCAGCTCCCTAGAATTAGAACAAAGGTATACCAACATCTTGGAAACATTCCAACAAAGAACTCAACCAAGAATATAGGAGTAGGGTATTACACCTACGTGCGATCCAAACTTATTTAAAGTTTTAAAACCATCGCCTCTCTAGTTTGTCGTCCTCGTTTCATCCGCCCGACACCATCGCCTCATTTCCGCACACCTATTCCCTGGCCGAGTCTCTAAAGAGGGTGTGAGTCCTCCCTGCTAGAGGAGCTCAGGCTCCAACAGTAGGTTATCCACTTATTTAATTTATGAGTGGGGTTCACCGGTTATCCCACTTACACCTCTAGTTAATAGCCATTATAAGCCCGAAGACATGGAGCACGTCGCCGTTGCGGTCATCGGCAGCAGTGTGGCAGCCAAGCATGACCTTGGAGTTCCAGTAGCCGGGCCGCCGGGGCAGGGGACCCTTGACCTCCCATGATCGTCCTTGGCATGCATCTGGGGACTGGAGGTGGGTCCAACACTCGCCGACCTTTCGGTGTCGGTGTTGGTTGTCAGGAATTCCCTCCGCTCTCACATAGTGAATCACAAACCAACTGAAGGTTTTTTTTTTTTTTCAGAATGGGTACAGGAAACTGGAGAAAGGTTCAGAGAGCAGAGGAAACAGAGTTCGGTTCTGCGTACAGCTTGTTCAACAATTTCGTTTTTCACCATTATTTATCCCATCCACAATCTGGAGTCTGTTGCATGTAAACACTAGATCTGCACATTACGTCAATCATACAACGGGAATCAAGATGAGGCACTAAAACTGGAAAAAAAAAAACGCTAACTTAAACTTGAGCACTACCGCTAGAGTCCGCCTGAACCGGTCATCTCTGAACATGCAGCCTATCAAACAGAAGACTAACGCCATGTTTCTTTCAGCTTGGGATTATTATAATCCAGATTATTGGGAGTAAACTGAAAGAAACAGACAACTTATTGAAGTAGCTTATTATAATCTGGAGCCCAGCTTATTATAATCTGATAAGCTCATTTAGGTGAGCTTTTTTCAGATTATTGGGTGAAAAATTACCCACCATGCCACCCCACTCTCTCTTTAGACATGCAAACCCAATAATCTAGGCTCTAATAATATAGGAAAGAAACAGCTAACCGCTTATTCTAGTACAGATTATAACAATCTAGCTTATAGTAATCTGACTCAATAATCTAGATTATAATAATCCCAAGCTGAAAGAAACAGGGCCTAACCAAAACATCAAAAATAAAATTTGCGCACAAGATTACTGAAGATAAGCTATCAAATTCACCCCTTGATCTTGGTGCGCCTGAACCTATATCAGCCCTTCTTCCTCATCTCCTGAGAGCAGGTACAATAGCATGTTATAAGTCAGCTACAAACATATTTTAAGGAGATAAATAAGGAGAGAGAAGAGCAGCGGGCTACAGATTTATAGTCAGCTGTAGCACGGACTCCAAGACGCAGTATATGTATGACAGGTGGGACCAGGTATTAATAATGTATTATGTAACTATTGTATGAATAAGCTATTAGATTTATGAATTGGAGCTAGTAGTTGGCTATACTATTAAACTTGCTCAGAAAACGAACTTTGCCCAATGGCTTTGTCAGAATGTCAGTAAGCTCGTCCTCTGAACAGATGTGCTCAACACACTCCCCGATGAAATGGTAGCGAGTATTTTTGTGTTCTACATCTATCATGAAGCACTGAATTCTTACAAAGATCTTACAGAGTAGTTATAAATTTTCAGAACATCACAACTAGGATCTTCAGGCATCAGCTCTCCCACAGCAACCTACTGAGCCAAATTCCTTGATAAGCTGCAGTGATGGCAGCAATGTATTAGCCTCACATGAAAATAATGCCACCACCTTCTGTTTCTGTTCTCCAACATGAACAAAACACCTGCCGTGCTCTTACTGTCGCTTGCATCTCCAGCCATATTACAGTCACTGAAACCCCAGCCCAACAAATGTGCGCTTCAAGCCTTCAACAATATTACTAGTAGGAGATATAGCGCTAAAAAAGACAAGCTGGTACTGAAGGTGTAAGCATTCTTGACTGCGGGATATAAGCACTGAGCTCTTCCATTTGCACTGAAGCAGAAAACTAGAGAAGGCAGAAGATAACACAAAGATCATTTTAGTTGCATATCATTCACAGGCACAGAACTTGAACCCCGTTCTTGCAAATTCTAAATAGTTCTAATATAACCTCATTTTATCATAACAAAAAAAAGTCCAGACCAGTCAAAAAGAAAATCCATCCTGGTTAAGAATCCCAAACAATAGCAGTTACTCTAGTGCTGACTTATTTCAACGGTCCAATGAATAGAAGAGAAATGAAGAATAACTACAATAACTGAGTTATCTATTGTTCAGGGATTTTTGTTCTAAAACAACTGATTAGCCTTGTCTGATTGGCATTACATGTAAAAGATAATCATACACCCATTGCAATGCATATTTGCTTATGTCCTTTACTGCAGAAATTAGCACAATGAATCCTTTCTATCTTTGATTTGTGCCTTGGACTGCTAACTTTGGAATGTACGGCAACTGCGACCACATCCTTTGGGACCAAAACTTCTGATGATTAGGACATAATTTACACATGTACTAAAGAATCAACAAGGACGCAGTCACAGCAACAAAAGCCATCTTGTGGGCATCAACGGCCTCTTTTGGCCCCAAGGGAGGAATTGACGACAACATCCTGCACCATATCTCTGGTTGCATGTGAAGGCACGCGGCCTCCAAGAGCGAACCAAAAACAATAAATTTTCTCAAGCACCTTCTCTACGCATAATACATATACAAACTATTTGCAGCAGCACATGCGATAGAATTCTCAGTTGGGTGCCATGCAAGATGGAGCAACTTTGTCGAAAAGTCAAATGAATTTCCATTGGCATCAACGCCTTGATTTTCCCCACCTATAGCATATTATATGAAAATGGTTGGACAAGGTGATTGCCAATATCATATTATCTCAGTACTGAAAATTCTTGATGTGAAAGAAAAGTAACATACCTCTCCGCACACCACGGGCCAGAGAGGTTAGTGTGCGTGTGGGCCTTGTTGGGTTTACAATCTGACGCCTATGTATCCAAATCAATGAATAGAACATAAGCTCAGACAAGCCATAATAGCAGAAACAACAATTCTAAAAGTCTGTATGACACTTAAAATGTGAAACAGAAGGCCTAAGGTACATATAAATTTTGAAATAGTGGGAGAAAGTAGCTCCTGATTGGAGTTTTGTTGAATCCAATTCAACCATATCATGATCCTTCTCCAGATCCACATTCCGAAAGGAAGGAAAAACTAATTATCAACAATCTGATCATAGCTCCATTAGTAAACATACCTCATGGGGTTTCTGCTTGCCTCCAAAGTGGTCGCTTCTGTGCTCCCAGGAGTACAGCCAAAAACCCGAAATAAATTACTGCAATACAGATGCAAAAATAAGGTGTCAGCAGACATGATTTCTAAGTATAACATTTTCATATGTAGCTAAGAACAAGAGCAAGGTAATACCCATATGAACCAGTTGCAACATGGAGTCCATCCCCACTAAGACAACACTCAAATTTGTCAAATATTGAGTCGTTCTCATACAGATCACATAACTGAAAATTAGAGTACAGCTAGATTATGTATCAGTCATCATATGGCTTCTTTTTAGTCATTCGGTTGACAAAGTCTCACCTTGGGCCTTAAATGTTCATGAACCTGGAAGGTTGAAACAGGACCTGAATCCATGTTTAGATCCCATAGCTGAGGAAAAGACAGATATTAAACTCAAACCAAATTATTCCGCTTTACCTAAAATTTACCTTATTAACAAGTCAAATATGCTCATCATAAGCCATGCAAAAATAAAATGGTATCATAAACTTCAATGCATAAGGCAAAACAGGACAAGCAAATTTCACATTTAATATAAATAAATATTTTAGCAAAAGAAAAGGTGTTACCATATTTTCTTAGTCACTGAATATTTACTACTCTCTCCGTCCCAAAATATAGCAACCTAGTACCAGATTGGACAAATCCCAGTACTACCAGCCTCTAGGATATGTCCCATCCAGTACTAGATTGCTATATTTTGGGACGGAGGTTACTAGTTAGGCAACATTTATTTCTATAAACCAACTATCAGCAGTCAATCAACCATTAAAGGCAGAACAGACTGCAAGAGGCCTGGCGTTAAGGAGAAACATACTAGCCCGACAATCTATTTCCTGCTAATTAATAAGGACAATGAAAAGCATCGAAGAATTCCTAACCAAGCATGTGTTACTAGACAAATAGGCCACAATACCATTTTTATATATATAAACATCATTAACACCTGACTTATTTTATTTCAAATGCAAGTTCAACCTCGAAGAAACAATTCAAACACTAAAATATGCTAGTGAATAAATGCTAGGAGTGCAGCATATGAAAGTGTGCTCTTTATTTTTACCTAACAATTAACAGATCTAGATTATAATTCACCCAGAAATTAGATCTCTATGTACAAAACATTCAAATGTTACGCGGTAAGAAGTTACAGAATGATATCTGATGTGTCAAAACTAAATAAGTAGTTTTTTATTTGTGGGTAACTATACGAAGGGAAGGTATTACCTTGAGAGTCATATAATCGCGACTAAGGATGTATCTTCCATCCCTTGAAAATTTTATATCCGATATTGATGCGATTATCTCTGTAAAGAAGGATCTTGATCCAGGTGCTTCATGTTCCTCAAATCTGTTTAAAGGTTCTTGTTATCTCATGCTGATATTGTGACATTCTATTACTAGTATAGAATAGAGAATCTTATGCAGCCCCAAGTCCCAACCGTCAAAAGAAGTCCACGACTACCTCCAGTACACACGGATAAAATGTTGCAGGTAAAAGGCATAAGATGAATTACTAACATCTTGGAATGGTTGTCACACAAAGCTGATTGTCGCAGATCAATGAGTCGGATAGAACCCTTTGAACTGCTATAGGCCAGTGTATTACAATGAGTTGGGTGGAACTCCGCACATGTAATGACCTCTGAAATATCAACAAATTACATCATGCACAACATATTACCAGGACATGAATTACAGTAAGTGTAAAGATCAGATTCCAGGTCATCTTAAACATCAATAATAAAGATGCACTGCTACTCTTGACTTCTATATCATCATTAGAAAAATAGTATGATAAAATAGCAGATCAACTTCTTAATAAAAAGTCATGCAACGACATGGATAATGTTGGTCTCATTCATTTGGTTATTCCCTAAATAACTATCAATTCTCTCACAACATAAATCCCCCATAGACATCTGCTCCTTATTTAATTCAACATATAAAATAGACAAGAAGATGCAAACTGAATTTATAAAATTGAGCTTCTATAATCTGGTTAGTGCCATGTGTGATGTGTCCATGCCAATTTGAAGCTAAATATAAATGAACAGAGATCAGAAACATGCCATTTGTTACAGCTGCTTGCAGCCGCATATAGCAAGCATTTTAAGAAAGTATGACAGCATAATGCAAATTCAGAATAGGCCTTCATCACAAATACAGAGGCCATATTCACATTAAGCGCTAAGTAACCATGTCATAAACAATGGACTATGAAAAACAATATTTCGATTCTTCACTTTAGTCATGTAACACAAGAAAAATGATAATGTTTTGCGGTAAAAGGAATAGAAATTAAGAAAGCTTCCATCAATCAATTTTATCCATGCTGCAGTACATTAATTCAAAGTTGAGCACAAATCATGTAAGAAATAAGGTACTAAATGGAGTTACCCGTTAGGTCTTCCATGTTTGGAGGCTTCACGTCAACAATATTGAAGCTCTGGTTATTTATCTCCAAATTCCATAGATTTATACGCAGATCATCTGCTGATATGTATGTCTCGCCATCACTGACAATTAAATGAAAAAGAGAAGCAAATCAGCACAATGTTCACAAATTAGATCATTGAAAAAGTATATGGAATATACAGGTAGAAAAACTGCAGATAACTCTATTGCGTTACTGTTGTAATATAAAAAAGTGTATGCCTCTACAACAATGGTTTGCACTGATTTTAAAGCTGATTCAATGTGTCATGACTATTGCACTGACTATTGGTTTTACAATAAGAGCAATCCATGAGAATTGGATGCTCGGCTCGATATTATTTTATTTCAACATGAAAAGAAATAGATACAGATGAACTCATGGAGAAAAAATGCATTAGGGATACAGCTTAATAGATTAATATTCAATGCAATGATCATACTTACCTATTGGTTGATATAGAGTTAATATGGTAATCATGAGCATGTGCATATACACGTCGACATCTAGCAACAAGGTTCACATCTTGACTTGCAACCTGCATGATAAGAAATGCAGTCAATTTTGGACTTGATCATAGGTTGCCGTGCAAGTTATCATATGCCAGCTAGATGTGCTAGAGCTGATCAAGACATCAAGTCATCTTCTGTTGATTAAGATATATAGAGGTTAAGTACAACTACCACAGGCAAACGTAATGACGGGTAGCCTCCAGGTGGAAACAAAATGTCACTGTTCAAGAAACTGGACTTGTCTGAACATCCACCATTTGGAAGAAGACCCCTAGAACTACTAGTACTTGCACTAGAAGAGGTACCAGTCCCTACACTCCGTGAATCCAAATTCATAACTGAAACTTGTTTTACTTTCTTCTCTTGCACCTGTAAAGGAAGTAAAGCAATATGTAACCAAGGTCAAAACAGCTAATACTTGGATTGTGGATATTTTGTGAGGAAAAAAGAAAAGAAAAGGCATAGCTCGTGTACGACCACCGATTAAACAAATGCATCTTGTTGGTGCTTCGAAAGGTTAAAAATTAATACTACTTCCTTCCCAAAATAATTGTAATTCTAGGTTGTTTACTGCATATTAAGCTTTGAGAAGAAAGACTATAATGTCCCTTATTAAATGGTGTATAGGTAAGAGTGGAAGAGTAGTTGAGGGTAAAATAGGGAGAAATTTGAATGAGAAGTGATTAATGGGGCCATTAGTACTCTATTGTGACAATTATTTTGGGACAAATTCAAATCCTAGAAATACAATTATTATGGGACAGAGGTAGTAACAAAATCACGTCTGGTACTCTGGTATCACAAATCATTTCCATTGCGTAACTAGAGAGTGCTCATGTAAACTTCATTAAATTTTCCACTAATGATGGAATAATCAACATAAATATCTTGATCCACCAGTTCGGAGAAATACAAACATCCAACAGAGTTGGTCTTGGTCAAGACAGGCTTAAATGTTACATTAGATTAGAAAGATATTGGCATGCAGAAATCTTGAAAACCATTCCTGGGTCCTAACATATTTTTCTCCATACCTTCCAGTATTTTATTGTTTTATCATTTGTAGACAGAAGGGAGAGTGAATTATTGGCTGTCTGGCACCACCTGATCTTGTTGATCTTCTCCTCTATTTCCAAACTTTTGAGGTAATCAAACTAGAACAGTTCATCAAAAAAACATAGATGTGAGTTTCCATATGCAAGTAATTCAAGCAAGAACAAAACAAGAGCATAGCACAATAATGTAATGCTTCATTTGCTTGCAATGGTTAAGCTAAGGATTCCTTTCTTGCTCTGAGATAAGAATGCCAGCTTGTTAATTTGATCTTATGCGTCCAACTTCATGGAAATAACAGATAATACTATGTGCTACAACAGCCAATCCAGATTATCAACATACCTCAGGTTCATGACTCTGAAATTCACTTTTGTAGCGAAACTCTGGGTGTCTAGTAATCGGAGCATCTTGTCTCTCCATTTCTCTCCGACTGGCATTCTGCTAACAGATAGACTTTCATGAGTATAAAATAATGAAATTGAGCAAGAGAAGTTCAACTAATGGTGCTTACATCCCGAGCATCTGTCCTTTCAAATAAAACAACACGTCCTCCTCTGTCTCCGGTGGCAAGATGATCACCAGATTTATCAAACTCAATTGCAGAGATGATGTCAACTGAAACAAAACAGCATAAAGATCAACACACAAAGAAGCAACCAATTGTGCATTTGTACTTGTCTAGCATTGAAGAAATCCTTCATCTAAGAAATGGATAAATTCAGAAAGTAAGCTTATTATAAGAAGAGTGTGCTTAGCAGTTACTCTTCAAACCCAGATTAACCAAGCTAATTACCCAAAGACCGATCCTTCTGATTCACACAAATGAAATCACAAATAAAGCACAGAGGTATATACATTAAAATTTTCCATATTCTCAATAACAATAATTGGACCAGTGCAGCGTGGTCAAAAATAAACTTAGATATGGACAGTATAGTGTATCGTGTACCGACAAAAATGTAACGGTACAATAACTGTGCAACCAACAGAAGAATTTATGTTTTGTCAACATACATCCAAATCCAAAGAGCGAAGGCATCATATTCAGTGCCAAATCAGACTTACTAGCATAACCTTACACAATGCAATTCCTACAAGGAGACAATGCAACAGCAAGCGCAGGACCCTAGCTACACAGGTTCAATAAAAAGCAACTTCATTGATTCCTTTTAACGGACTCCTAACCACTTGCGTGCTTTTGAATTCATGAATTCGGTTCAAAGTGGATAAGTCATCATAGACCTCAAGAGAACCTTAAGCAACATATCTCCTAAAACTCAAAACACAAGAATCCGCAAGCTCCCCATCATCTTAGCACCTTAGTGCACTCCATAAAATACAAGATCAAACACTACGCATGGTTCATATTCCTCAGACCTCAATGAAAGACTTGCATGACTATAGCCTTAAATCCGAAAAGTTAAACAAAAGCACTACACGACCAACTCAAACAATTTCCTAGCAAATAGATGATCAACAAATCACGAACAACGCCCGTTCCAGCTCAAAACAGGAGCTGCTAGTAGAGCAGCACCGTCTTCAACCATCCAGATTGATAACGCGAACACACTCTCGATCCGAAACTATCCCTTTTGGCGAACATCACACGCTCCCAGGTCAACCAAGCGCGCTCATTCTCCTACGAGACCAAACGCTCCCAAACCGGGTTCCGCTCCAATCCCAATCCCATCACCACCACCACCACCACCGCAGCCTGGGGGAGGGCCCCCAAGCGCAGCCCTCCCCTCCCCCTCCCGATCCCACACCGCCCCCCAGCGGGCCGGCGCATCACTCCCCCGGAGCCACAACCCCGCACGAATCGACCAGATCTCGAGGCGGCGGGAGGGGGTGGGGGGCAACGGGCCAGGCCTCTCGCGGGCGAGGGGGTGGCAAGGCAACGTACCTTCCTGCACGTCCTCCCCGGCCGCGCGCTCGCCGAAGACCTGCGCGAACCGCCACTCCATCGTCGGATGCCCCTGCTGCGCCGACGACGAGCCCGCCCCCGCCGCCTCGAGGCGGTCGCCGTCGCCGCCGTCGGGATTCATCATGGCGGCGTCACGCGATCGCGCCGCGGGGGCATCGCATCGGGGCGGGATCGGGGGAGGAGGAAGAGGAGGAGGAGGAGGAGGGAGGAATCTGGATGGATGGGGTGGGGCGATGCGTTGGGGGAGGAGGCGGAGGAGGAGGCGTTGGCGGCGGCGGCGGAGGAGGAGGGGGAGATCGAGTCGGGGAGATGTGTGTGGGGGAGGGGGGAGGTCGAGGCCTGTGTGTGTCTGCGTTCGTGTGAGCGAGCGAGCGGAGCTAATGAATGTTGTTTGTTTCTCTTTCTCTGACGTGGTGGGGCTCTTTTTGCGGTCCGGCCCTCGTGGAAAAGCGGAATTCCAACTCTCTTCTTCCTTTCAGCCTTATTTCATCGGGAAATTTAAATATTTGTCACTGTTAGGTTTGCCAATTATCCAAATATCCCTCTTACATTTGCCCTTATTTTTTCCCCTCTAAAGTGGTGGCTTTTTAACTATTTGCCACGTTTGCCCATGTAGCATGCCAACGTGGCAACCCGGTATAAAAATCAACGTGGGACCCACTTGTTAGTCTCATAACTCCCCTTTCCTCTCTTCCTCCGGTCTGGCCAACCCTACCAACAGCCAAGCGCCGCCCCACCTAGGTCGCACCCCCACGATTAACTCCACCCCTTCTCGTCTCTTCCTTCGTGCTAACTGCCATCACTGCCGACGACGACGACGACGCCGACACCAAATTCCCAAACCCTAGCTTCACCCTCGGCCTCGCCGCCGCAAGCCGCCATGGCGGAGACCATCGACGACAAGGTCATCTACTTCCAGGCGGTCACCGGCATCTCCGACCACAGCCTCTGCACCGAGATCCTCGCTGCCCACGACTGGGACCTCCAGCTCGTCGTCTCCTCCATCACCGCCAACCCCTCCTCCCTTGACCCGGCCCCCATCGCCGAGGGAGGCGGATTTGGTCACGCCACACCCGTCTCCGCCTCCGCCTTCGCAGCAGCAGCCCAGGATTGCGTGGAAACTGATGACGCTTCCATTCTATGTGGTCTCTGGTGGGGTTGGGCTCATCGTCAGTTCGATCTGTCTCGTTGCCTGGGTTGCCGAAGCCATAGCTGGGGAAGCACGGCGACGCCAAGCGCATCTTCTTCTCTAGCGACAGCGCCAGTGGAGGAGTGGGCAGCACTCGGCTATCAGCGGGGTTGGCCGCAGCGGAGGAAGAGAGGAAAGGGGAGCTGTGAGACTGACAAGTGGGTCCCACATTAATTTTTACACTGGGTTGCCACATTGGCATGCCGCATGAATAAAAGTGGCAAACAGTTAAGCCACCATCTTAGAGGGGCAAAAAAAAATAAAGGCAAATCTAAGAGGGGCAAATAGTTAAATTTCCCTATTTCAACCATCAGTGTTCGTGTCTTGTACTGATTGTTGGGTTGAAAATATTTATTGATTAATTTTATGTCTCAAGATAATTTAATTTATACATATAATCAAGCTATAATATGTGGCAATAATCCACTCAATGTTCTAAATCATACGGGTTACTAAGCAAGGGCTAATTAGACTGCTACTAGTTATTTTGGTTAAGATATTGTTGTTTCTATGTGATTCGATAATGTGTGTTACCTTTTTTTCAATTCATTCATAAAGCTAAAAAATAGTTGAAAACAAAAGAAAAAAGAATATTTTAGCATGGTCTCATCTTTAATCAGAAAGCTTCCCCCCTGAGCGCTTGACGAGGAGAGGCGAAGTGAAGAGGCCAGATACAACGGTAGCTAGCTGTACTCGAGGCACAATGAGACGATTGGCAAAGCCACAGCCATAGCTGCTACACGAAGCAGATGAAAGCTGGTGATGGCCAGCCAAGAAACACTGAAGAGGGTTATATGACATTTCTCTAACGTGTGGCTCGGATCTAGCTGGATGGCATCGGGAGGAAAGTGGTGCAGGGACGTGTTGTGATCAGAGAAGACACCATGAGAGACAAGCTAGCAGAGGAGGAGGCCCGGATGTGGTAGGCTCTTGTTGGAGATTTTTCAACAGTTTTTTTCAATCCATAGTTTATCTTTTTTGCACTTAGTTGTACTGGAGTGTTTCGATTCGTTTTGCTAAGATGTTGCACATGATTTGCAATGCCTTGTCATAGGCATGTGTTGCCTCCTGTCGTCTTGATGGTGCTTAGCAAAAAAATGAATCTCAATATTGACAGGGTCATACATCCACGAGTGTAAAGTGTGCATCTATTCAGGGCCTCCAGAATTTAGGGGCCCCAAAATCCGTAAGTGCAGTAAAGAAAAAGAATAAATTGCATGTAGCCCAACAAGCTCTTCTAATCCATGATCTAGTATTAATTTGAAAGTTCAAACAGCAATAGAAAAGAATGTAAGTTCTCTCATTGCCTTGTTTGCTCAAACCAACAGGTACCGCACACCGCACAGTGCACCGTCTCGCCTTCTCGGCTCCTCTGACTTTGTTTCCCCACACTGTCACCACTACGACTTTACATTTTTTTTTTGAAACAACCAACACCGCTACCTAGGGCTGGGCAATGGGCACAAACAAACCGCACGAATGAACAATACGTTGGGGGAGGAGGAGGAGGAGGAGGAGGAGGGAGGAGAGGTGTGGGGGATTTATGATGGGGGGACGGGAGGTCGAGGTCTGTGTCTGTGTTTGTATGAGCAAGCTAGGTTCGTTGTTTCTCTTTCTGTGACATGGTGGGCTCTTTTGCGGCTAGATTCTCCTGGAAGAGTGGAATTCCATCTCTCTACTTTCATCTTATTTTACCGAAACCGATTGTTTCTTCCACGTTTAGAAATTGTCATTTACAGTTTTGCTTAGACCATTTTTGTGTAAATATTTATTGGTTTTATTTCTCAATATATTTAATTTATACATATAATCGAGTTGATAATTCATGGCAATAACCCACTCAATAATCTAAATTAAATAGGGATGCTAGCGGCTAGTTATTTTGGTTAAAATATTGTTGTTTCTATGTGTCAATAATGTGTGTTACCTGTTTTTGCATTCATTATAAAGCTAAAAATATTTGAAAGTAAAAGCAAAAAGAATGTTTTAACTTCTCTATTTTATGAAGCATTATCTCATCTTTAATCAGAATACTTACCTAGAGTGCTTGACCCCGAGGGAAATAGGCTCACTCCTCATTTCTCTACCTCGTTGCCCTCTCGCCCACCAGAGAACTCTTGCGAACCATGCAAGCTCATCCACTGTTGCATCGACGTAGCAAGAGCCGAGAGGAGGAGGTGCGTAGGGAGAGGAGAGTTGAAGCGACAAGGCCAGTCACAACGATGTGTGGTGCAATCAAAGAGCTTCTCCTTTTGTTTCATGTGTTTTCAAATTCTATAGGATTAAAAAAAACATGTCGCTTCGATTTATGCGTTTTTTCCTATCCCGTGTTTTAAAGGGGTTCCTTAAGTTGATAGGAGATTTAATGGTTAAGTAGATATTATTTGTGCATTTTGGGTTAATATTCTGTCTTTTTTAAACCAAGAGATATATACAACTTTCCAAGTTCGGTCTTGTGGTTTATTCGTTTGGAATCCATCTTCTATTAATCTTGCTAAATAAGCATATTGAATAATAACAATTTTACTTTAGGTTGCACTCAAGTAATAATCATCTGTTTTGAGCTTTATAGCTTAGCAAGGACTTCGTAAAGGAAAGGGAAAAATGCCTTATGATAAATATTTCGGCCTCGACTATTAAGCTTATTTTCAATGGAATTTATATAAAAGTCCTTGTGTCCCAAATTCTACTACGAACCAAAATCCTTTTTTTTTTAACCAAAAGCCATTGAGGTGTATCTCCAACCTTACCATCAAGAATCAAGACAAAAAAAAACAAGTTCGGTCTTGTGGTTTATTCGTTTGGAATCCATCTTCTATTAATCTTGCTAAATAAGCATATTGAATAATAACAATTTTACTTAGGTTGCACTCACGTAATAATCATCTGTTTGAGCTTTATAGCTTGGCAAGGACTTCGCAACGGAAAGGGAAAAAATGCCTTATGATAAATATTTCGGCCTCGACTATTAAGCTTATTTTCCCTATTTTGGGTAAATTGGAACCATGCCATTATATTTTTGTAAAGTTTGAGATATGCCATCGGTATCTCAATGACATCTAGGACCCAATGAGTCAATGACATGTGGGTTAGGATGACATATCTCAAATTTTGCAAAATTATAATGGCATGGTTCCAATTTTCCCTATTTTTCAATGGAATTTATATAAAAGTCCTTGTGTCCCAAATTCTACTATGAACCAAAATCCTTTTTTTTAACCAAAAGCCATTGAGGTGTATCTCCAACCTTACCATCAAGAATCAAGACAAAAAGATATATCATTTTAGTGAGCCTTGCACGTTAGCCACTCATACTCTCCTGGTATTTCCTGAAGAGATGGCTTGTTGGGGAGGATGGCCAATTCTGGCAAGATTGAGCATGATCAATCAAGGTTTCCCTTACCGTTTGAGGGGAGATTATTGCCCCCTCCCCGCGGTAACCGCTGAAAACCGCGTGAAATTCGTCCTAAAATATTTGAATTCAAAAATCGGTGGTTTCGCAGTTACCACCAATTGTGTAGCAGAACATAAACACTCTTAAAATAATGAAAAAGCACTTAAATGTGTGTAGAAATTGGGGATAATTAGAAGAATATACAAGATACTTGCAAACCTAAGTTTTGGATGTAAAATACAAAAACTCGGCATGACCTTTTCTATATTATGGACTTCGAAGCAATTCAATATTTTGTAGCATAATAATTCAACAACAACAACAATCTCACATTTGAAAGCATGTGCCAAAGAGAAAACGATTGAGAGAGATGAGAGGACCCAAGAGATATTTTCTCCACTTAAGGATCTTAATGGGCTGTATAAAAAGTGCAACCTAAGACCCATTACATTATTTCTTTTTTTTTTTTCATTTTCTGATGTATTTTCGGGTTTGCCCTCAAATTTGAATTTATCTTACTCATTTTCAAAAATTTTCTTCACCATCTGCCACTTCAAATTAAGAACTACATCCATATTTTTTTCAATTTTTTTTGAATTTTGAATTTGGATAAAATTCACCAAACCCTACTGCCGGTAACCCTACCGCACCCCCGTGGTAAGCGTGGTTACCGATGGTAAGGGAAACGGTGTGCTCAACAGCTATACTATACTACTCTCAATCCTAGAATCTTGGACTTTTGTGAAAAAAAAGTGGCCCCAATAGTTCCCCTG